GAGGAGGCCTCGCCGCCCTCGCCGCCTCCCCTTTCGCCGGTGGGGTTTCGCCACTTTCCATTCGACGTGATCAGCTGCGGGGAAAGGCTGCGTAGCGGGGGGTACCGCGCGAGGCCACCGTCGTCGATGGAATCCTCTCGAGAGGGCTCCGGAGGGTTGGGGGGGGTTCGCGCCCTGATCGAGGCGTCGAGCTCGTCATCCGCGCCGAGTAAGGAGTTCTCCAGGTGGGGGGAGAGAAAAAGACGGGCGGGAAGTAAATCGGCCTCCTCGGTTTCGACGGTCGTCTCGATCACCTGCGCAACCTTCGCCTTAATCGTCTCCTCCCCGTCATGGGAAGGGATGATAAAGGTCGTGGAGTCGAACCGGTTATCGAAGGCGATCGTTTGCGTTTCCTCCGACGCCACCTCCCTTCGGCTTGGCATGCGGAAGAATGAATAGATCCGTGTAAGGGGGTGTATCTATGAAAGGATGGATAGTTCTATGATTTAATAAGGTAATGAGAAATTAAACGCACGAGACGGTATAAAAGAAAAAAGAAGAAAGGAAAAACAGCACAAGAAACCCCAACGTCCTCGTTGGTGGTTTGAGATTATACGACTCTAGCCGCTAAAGGGGTACAATCTTCACCAGCCTTGGATTCCTTACCTAAAACAAGAAAACCTGAGCATCAATAGATCAGGGTTGTCAGAAGAGGGAAATAGAGAAGAGAATAAAATATTTTGGTCCTCGGACCTGACGCCATGCAACACCAATATTATGGGTCGTAAGGGACACGCAACTCAGCGAAATAACCTTAGAGGAATTCGCTAGTATATATATATATATATATATATAATGTCCATGCATCCTGGAGTAGATCAAATTTATAAAAAATATCTCTGGTGAATATGATGGTAGCAGAAGAAAAGAATAATTAAAATAAAAGTAAAAATATAGAGATCTGAGAAGTCTATAAAAAGTGTACCACATCTTGAGACTCACATCTGCTGAATACACAGGCCTCATTCAAGTTGTAGTTGTTGAGGCGCATAGGTTCCGTGAGTGTTGGCAAGTTTTTTTTTTCGGGGGGGGAGAGGAAGGGGGGGAGAGAAGGAAAACCCTACTGGGAAAGCAGATACATAAAAACCACTTATGACTAAATAATCCTGATTAGATGAAAATTTTCGATATAGCCTTTAGACTGTGTAATGTCAAGGTCCCGCGCGCGTGGCGAATCCCCACCACGGCGAAAGGGGGGAGGCCGTTTACGGAGAGCCCTCACCATCCCCCCCCCTTGAGTACGCGGCCGACCGGCGACATCTTTTCAAGTCCGTTTCCCCCCTCTCCCGGGGCGTTTCCGCGGCGTTCGACGTCGTTTGCGCCCCCCGCTTTCGCGGGAGGCGCGGTGGAAGGTCGTTCGCCCTCGCAACGTCGTGCCCCTCTACGAATTCGATCCCCTCGACTCCGGGTGGGGCTCCTATCGGGGGGCATGGGGGCCCGTCG